GGTGTTCTCCTCAGTAGATGTTTAGACTGTTGCTGAAGGAGAGAAGAGGCTTCACAGTGGACCGGTCTTCTTCATGACCTGTTGCTGCCATCAAAATCAAAATTATCTTGTTTTCCTAAAAATGATACAATTTCTAGTTTAACATTTGGCATGTTTACTGAGTTTTACTGCGAACATGAGCTCATCAGATTAGCATATCCTTGCATTCTGTTTTACATATTTTCAGATTGAGAGTTGCATAGATAAGCCAACTGTAATAATCTGAGCAGTGTTATTCACACTTATACTTGTGTACATTTGATCTGCGATTAGTTGGATCCTAAATGTTGACTGAACAGAATGGGTGCAGTATGTTCTGGTACAAAAGTGGGGGGAGGAATGACCCTCAACCTGACTGTAGGTGCAGGTACAAGTTTCTACTGTCAGCTGGTCACGGTCCGCAGGTTCTCCAAGGCTGGTTAACCTCAGCGGTCATCTTGGGTTGGGCTGACACTAAAAGTTGTCCTCTGTAGATATCCACTGATTGATTCCTGAGTTTTATTAAGATCCGTCCAGTGGTTTGTAACATATTCGACTAGCTGACAAACTGACGCCAACAGATATTGCCAAAACTTTAAACAAAGGTCTCACGTGATGTTTGCCGTCAGAATTCACGTTGGGGGTGAAGCTGAGCTACTACCACACCACACTTCTCATTATCTGTCAAATGTGGCGTTTTTTGTGTTTGCTAATTCTGATTAGCTGTGGCGGACACTTCAGTCGACTCTGAAAGGTTGTGCATGAATGCCAAGTTATTATTTTCTGAGAGTTTAATTAACATCTGTTCGCTGGTTATTTTGCTAACAGATAAACACAATGAAATAAAATGTTGGTCGTCATAATAAAAAAAACAGCTGAAGAGGCAGAAATGGTGCGGTTGAGGAGGAGGCTGCTGCATTGAGGTGTCTGCAGGGACAGGTGGTTGGTACCTGAGAAAAACGAAATGGCCAGCCAGCCTACGTGTACTGCCTCACATTCTGAGCTCAGTCTTGTCGCGTCCTCCTTCCCTCCCTGCTGCTCCTGAAACAAACAAGTCCACGTCTGCGCACTGATGTTGCGGAGCGGGAGGCAGGAAGGGAGGGTGAGTGGGTGGGGCAATGACGTATTAGCTAGAATATATGTCATTGGTGGTGGTGGTCGGGGGGGGGGGCGGGGTTCGGATCAGATTGCAGGAGGCCAATCAGGAGCGGGGATCCGCCCCGCCTTTCCCCTTATGGGCGGAACCCAGATGCAGAAGGCCAATCAGGAGCAGGGATTCGCCCCGCCTCAATATCTGCTTTCCTCTGTGGGTGGGACTCAGAGGCAGAAGGCCAATCAGGAGCGGGGATCCGCCCCGCCTCCACCTCTTCTTTTCCTGTGGGCGGGGCCGGAGCGTGAGCTTGTCTGTGTGTGCGGCTGAACTCACAAAGAGTGTGTGTTTGTCGCTCAAACTGTTGTTTACTGAAAACGTAGTTCTGTTCCTGTTCCACTTTTAATGGTCGTGCAGACGCTAAGGATGAAGATCCAGGACTCATCCGTGGCCTGTGACCCAGCGGGGAGGATTGGGAGCGGAGAGGTTCACGTCTCCGAGCCGGACTGCGAGGACGTTCCCCGCCTGGACATGAAGGCTCTGACCGAGGACGGTGGCAGCTGGGGAGGTGAGGCTGGGGGCTCCATCCTGCTCTTGCTCATGTTACAGCTCTCCATTATTCAGCTCATGTTCATCAGGCCGTTTTATACTTTGTGCATGCAAAGAAACGAAATGTAAACGTCATGCAGATTTATACAGCAGCTTTTCCTCCTGCAACAAGTTTTACCGCTTATTACACATGAAGGAGAAACGTGACTGTTGTTTTCATGCGTGAGATCTTCAATCAGCTGCGTTTCCACCCGGGCTGGGTGTGATCACTTGACGAACTGATGTTCCATTTAAAAATCTGTTCATATTTTTCGGCCTCTGAATTCTCTCACAGCATCATTTTTATGAACATTCTGCAAGTTGAATGAATGGATCGGGGTTTGTTCCACATTTGGCTGGAGCTGAGCGCGTTGCATCATTCATTACCTTTGGGTGCGTTTAGTTTGTGTCACGTCGAGTTGAAATGAACTAAGGCCCAGTTTGTGGTGTGCTGACACGCTGACTTTTTAGATTGCGACACGCGCGCACAGAAAGCTGCTCTGGGGGTTGAGATGTGCGCAGGAATGATGACCAGCAGGTTCACCTGCTGAACAGAGTTGACCTCTTTCCGCTTCTCTGTTTACCTTCGATCCCAACATGGACTCCAACTTCACTTTCTATTTGATCTGGGGGGGTGGGGGTGATGGAGGAGAGATGGGGGAGAGAGAGGAGAGGACAACATGTTGGTGGAGCTCTCTAGTGGTGAAACTTTGTACCTGGAAAACTACTGGAGCTGTGGGGAGGGGTGAGGAGGAGCTTCTTGTTGCTGTTGTTTTTGCAGCTTGTTGTTTTTCATGCATGGAGGAGAAAAGACAAACCAACAACTGTTCTCAACTCGAGGCCCGTGGGACTGATGGGATGTTGGTTTTGGAGGAACATGCCAGGCTGGCTGCAGCTGAACCACGTGCATAAAGTTCAGCTGGGGGTCGCGCTGCAACAAAAGCAGGTTTGTGCTCGTCTTAACACGAGCTGAATAATCACTTCATGTGGTTGTAAGTACTTCCTACTGTACAAGTGGGGATGTGGGTGTCTGAGAGCATTAGTCAGGGGAAGTGTCTGCACTCTTTGTCCCAGGACCTGCACTGCTGGTGCCTGTGACCTCATAGTGGATATTGTTAAATGGCTTCTCAAGTTCAAGTAGGTTTATTGTCATTTCATCCCATGTGGTACATGAGGTGGAACAACATGTACACAGGGGCCCACTTACACCCAACAACAGCAAAAATAAAAGCGTAAAAAGAAACTGTAAATTAGGATCTAAGATATAAACTAAGATATACGCCAAGATTTACGCTAAATGATCCGCTAAACACTAATAATGTAAAACAATACGGCGTAACAACAGCAGCCCGAACATGAGTCTGTGGTGAGCAGATGGGTATGAATGAATACAGCGTGAGCTAATCAGCAGCATGAGATCAGCAGCATGGATAATCAGAAGCACATAACAATTAAAGTGTCATCACAGTGATTGTCCTGGTTGATTCATGAGTCTAACAGCCTCAGGGTAGAAGCTGTTCCTCAGTCTAGTGGTTCTACACTTAATGCTCCTCAACCTCCTTCCTGAAGGGAGCGGGGCAAAAAGTGTGTGTGCTGGTTGGGTGTGGTCCTTCATGATGCAGGTGGCCCTCTTCCTGCATCTGGAGGTGTAGATGTCTGTGATGGTGGGGAGGCTGACTCCAACATCTTCTGTGCAGCCTTCACCACTCTCTGCAAAGCTTTTCTTTCTGCAGCTGTGCAGCCTCCATGCCACACGTTGATGCTGGAGCACAGGATGCTCTCCACTGCACACCTGTAGAAGGAGGTGAGGACTGAGCTTCCAGACCAGCTCGTCTCAGCCGCCTGAGGAAGTAGAGTCTCTGATGATCTTTCTTCATCAGGCTGGTGGTGTTGTTGCTCCAGCTGAGGTTGTTGTTCAGGTGCAGACCCAAGTACTTGTAGCTGGAGACCACTTCCACCACATTCCTCTGCATGCTCGTCATGCAATTCATTGGTTTACTCTCATTTACAAGACGTTGCTGGTTTTTCACCTCCATATTTAATTAATCTACTGCAACTGCGCTGGTTTCAAAGTACAACAGCCGATCCTCTCAGTTTTTGTGGTTAACAGCTCTACAGACCAAGTCTGGCTTTGCCTCTGCTGCTCCATCTGACTGGAATCTGCTTCAAAAAACTTTGGGTCCGACCTCACTCGTCTCAGATTCTAATTTTAAAAATCGGTCGAAGCAGATGGTCCTCTTGTCCTGAACCTGGTTCTGCTAAAGGTTTCTTCCTCATGAGGGAGTTTTTCTTTCCACTGTCGCCTTCATGCTTGTTCAACATGAGAGTTCAGTGATGGAGTTAAACTCAAAGCTGCTCCTCACATAAATAATGTTGTTAACTTTCTATCTATGAATGTTTCTGTTCAGTCCCTGAGATGACTTCTGTCATGACTTGGAGCTTCATAAATAAACTGAAAAATTGTTTAAAAGCTGTGTTTAAAGATGCTTACAAATGTTTTCATGCTTAGTAATGTTTGACAATGAACTGTTGTTAATGTAGTCTGTGATTTCCTTGTTTGTAACGGCTTCTATATTTTATCGTTTTACAAGAGGCACTTGTAGGTCCCTAGACCCTACAAGTGCCTGCTGGTGCTGCCAGGCCTGCACTGTAAATAATAATTAGTTCTTAGTGTTTATTCCTGGATAAATAAAGGTGAAGTGAAAATGGAAAAAATGGACCCTGTCCTAGCCTGCCTACCAGATCCAGGGAAATAAAAGGCAGATCATTAGGAGGTGACACAGTTCTGAACACTCACCTGTCGTGTGAGCTACTTAGATTTGAGGTAAAACTATATTAAATGAACTCCCCTTCTGTACTGGGACAGGTTTGATCACCATTTCAGTTCAGTTAGTTTATTTATATACAGGTCGCTCTTGTAAATGAGTCCTCGTGACTCAACGACACTAACCTGTATGAATAAAGGTTGATTGAATATAGCGGCAAATCACAACAGAAGTCATGTCAGGGCACTGTACGAAAACATTCACATTCATAAAAAAGCCAATTAGTCAAAGTTTGCAGATACATTAAATCTTCACTTCGTCACAGTCTCCCATCCTGAGCAAGCACAGAGGAGACAGTGGAAAGAAAAAACTCCTTTTAACAGGAACAAACCTCCAGCAGAACCAGGCTCAGGACGAGCGGCACATCTGTTTCAACCAGCTGCTTGGAGAGGACAGGAAGTAGAAACAGACAAACACAGAATTACAGGTGCAGGTGAACTTTCTATAGGATGAAAGACAAAAAACATGTAATTACAAATAAAAACAGGAAGAGCAGAGCAAGTAAAGACGCAGCAGAGTGAAGAAATGTGGTCAGTTTGTCCTCCAGCAGTCTAAGTCTATAGCAGCATAACTAAGGGACAGCTCAGGAAACCCAAGCCAACCCTAACTATAGGATTTATCAAAAAGGAAAGAAGCCCAGTCTTCAAACTGGACAACGTGTCAGCCTCACAGACAGAAACTGGAAGTTGGTTCCACAAGAGAGGAGCCTGAGAACTGAAAGATCTTCCTCCCATTCTGCTGCTGGAAACTCTAGGAACCACAAGTAAACCTGCAGACTGAGAGTGAAGTGCTCTGTTAAGAAAATATGGAACAATAATATCTGTAATATAAGATGGAGCTAGGTTGTTGAGAGCTTTGTAGGTTAGAAGTAAGATTTTGAATTCTATTCTGGATTTGACAGGGAGCCAATGGAGAGAAGCTAAAACTGGAGAGACATGATCTCTCCCAGTAACTCCAGTTAAGACTCTGGCAGCAGCATTTTGGATCAACTGAAGACGTTTTAAAGAAGTATTTGGACACCCAGATAATAAACCATTGCAATAGTCCAGTCTAGACGTGACAAATGCATGGACCAGTTTTTCTGCATCATCTTTAGATCAGATGTTTCTAATGTTAGTGATATTACGCAGGTGGAAGAAGGAGGTTCTAGTAACGTTTTTAATGTGGGGGATAAAAGACATGTCCTGATCAAAAATAACACCAAGATTTTTAACATTAGAGCTGGAGGACAGATTAATGCATCTAAGGAGGGAGAAAGACTGAAACATTCATTCCTAAGGTGCTCGGGTCCAAAAACCAAAACCTCAGTCTTGTCTATGTTCAACAGGAGAAAATTAAGGTTCATCCAGGTTTTATGTCTTTAAGACATGCTTGTAGTCTAAGTAGCTGATTAGATTCATTGGGTTTCAAAGAAAAATACGTATAATTGTGTATCATCAGCATAACAATGAAAATTTATCCCATGCTGTTTAATAACTTTACCTAATGGAAGCATGTACAAGGTAAAGAGTATTGGTCCAAGCACTGAACCCTGATGAACTCCATGACTACTTTGGTGTATGATGAAGATTCACATTTACAAACTGGAATCTATCAGATAGATATGATTTAAATCAATTTATAGCCATTCCTGTAATTCCAATATCATATATTCCAACATCATATTCAAGTGTCTGTAATAAAATATTATGATCAACTGTATCAAATGCAGCACTGAGGTAGGACCAGTGTAGACACAAGTCCATTGTCAGAGGCCATGAGAATATCATTAGTGATTTTCAACAGTGCTGTTTCTGTGCTCACCTTTAAATTGGCTAAAGTTTGGTGTGGTACTGTAGTATCTGGGACTAATCTCTAACATGTATTTCGAGCTCGAACAAACTGCATAAGAAATTAATTTTGTCTATTATTGTCTGTCTGTTTGCAAAATATCTCACCACTGAATGTATTTTAATGAAATTTGTAATTAATCGTTGAATATGTCAAAGCATTAACATTTGAAGCCAACCCAATTCAAAATGGCTGCTGTCGGCAACTGACCGTAGAAAACACAAAAATGGCCGTGCCTTGGTACAATTTTACAGGTATTGAGCTTAAATCTCATATGATAGTAGCTGCAGGCCACAGCACAGCTGGGCATCTGTGGCTGAGTGGTTAGAGCTGTCGTCCTCCAATGGGAGAGTTGGGGGTTCGATTCCACCAGCAGCCACATGTTGATGTGTCCCTGGGCAAGACACTGAACTTCTCATTGACTCTGATGTGTCTCATCGGTGTTTGAACGTGATAAAGCTCTGATTAGTCTCTTTAGAATTATCTGTTAGATGAGCTTTGTAGAGATGTAGTAGAGGGATGCATGAATGTGTTTGTGGAGGTAAATGAGGCACAGATTGTGTTGTAAAGCACTTTGAGTACCTTGTTTAAATAGAAAAGTACTATATAAGTACACTCCATTTACCATTTATCACAGTCTGAGTATATTTTGCAATGTTGCATGAGATTGTGCACAAATCGGCTTGGCGACCACAACAGCTACAAGTCCATCATTTCTCAACATAAGAGGATCTTAGTCTAAAACTCTGGCATAAAAGGCGACAGGAGAGATGCATTCCTTCAAGAACTTAATTCCTCTCTCCATCTTGTCTTTTTGTTGCCTCTTTTCTTCCTCTGTTCCTGTTGAGCCTTGTTTCACTAACCTTTGTCTCCTTGATTCCTAAAGCGTTTTCCCCTCCAGTTCATTATGATCTTGACTGTTATGTCACAATGATTAAAAGAACAAAGGAGGTACGGAAGAAAATGTTGTATTGACCTTTTCCACTGCGTAGCAACATGCTTGACTGGTCTGGAACATAATCACAGAGTTTTCCAACAAAACCTTTACTCAAATGGCTCACTGGCAAGTTTTTAGTTTCATTACTCTAATTAATCCTGAAGCCTCAGTGTGCAGTTTATTTAAGGATTCATTTGAGCGATGCCATGGGTGGATGAATGGAGTCTTACTGGCTGGTTCCGCTGCGCTGATCTTGGTCTCTGGAAGAAGATACGATTGAGTCTAACCTGCCGCTGTGCGTGAACCCACTGTAGAGTTGCCTTTTTGATAAACTGCACATGATGGAAGCCAAAAGAGAGGACCCAGGACTGCCTGTGTTGGAACTGCAACCTAATCTCTGTTCTCTGTATTTGGTTAATGTAACCTTGGATAAGAAAAATATGCATGTGCAGATTTAAACTGGGTGTGCATATTTTCCTGACACCTCGAGTGTTTATACTTATGGTCAGTTTCTTCCAGAACTTGTTTTCCCTCTCTGCAGATATTCTTAAAGACTCCAGTTTGTTCTGACATGTGATAACACAGGTCTATCCTTCTCCGTGATCTCCACGTTAGGATTCCCGCTGAGTTTTTGGCACGTTGTCTGTAAAAGTTTTCCCCCTCTACTTCAAATCCTGATATTTCTTGGTTTAAAGCTGTCTAGTATTATGTCCCCCTATGCTTGCACATATCTGAGCATATGCAGCATAGAAACTAAAACACACACCCATTGCAGTACCTCTCAACAGGGATCACAGCCTGATATTATCCCGCAGAGATCTGGACTTTATTAATAGCATGGGGATTGTTGGAGGGGTGCTGGGGTCTCTCTGCAGGGCTATTTTTACCAGACAGTAACCAGGGAATGAACTGGGAGTCGCCATGGGTGTGGTTTACCCGCAATTTTAAATATACATGAATAAACACAAATATTAAAAAATATCTACCGTAATTTCCAGGCTACTGAGTACACCTGAATATAAGCCACGCCCACAAAATTTAACAAACAAAACAATTTTGTACACATACAGGCCACGCTTGTCTATAAGCTGCAGGTGTCCACGTTGTAACATGAGATATTTACCCAGAAATATTTTTTTAAACTTTTAATTAAATACGTATCGGTAACAGACACAAATACGTACAGTAAATGTTTTTCTTTCTGAACAGTGCCGGTAACACGGCTGGTTAAATAAATAAATAAATAAATAAATACAATAACCTACCAGGAAAAAAAAGCAGCCAATAGGGATCACAAGCCAGTGTGTCTCTTGTACCAGTCCCAAACACGGGTAAATGGTGAGGGTTGTGTCAGGAAGACATAATTATTTTTTGCCAAAACTATAATACAAGTTCATCAAAGCGAAAGAGAAGACCAAATGGTGGAAGATGAAGAAGGAAGAATGTTGTGATAAATTCAGAGAGGAGCTGTTAAAGGCTCTGGGTGGTAAGAAAGAGCTTCCAGATGACTGGACTACTACAGCAGGGGTGTCAAACTCACTTACAAAAGGGTGCCAAAATTAAACCCTTTCTCAAAGTAAGGGCCAGTTTCAGAATCTACATTAACTCAAGTTAGTTACCCAACATCTTTTCTTGGTTGCAGATTCCTCAACAAAAGTTTGATTGGTCTCTTTTGACGTTCTCTGATGCGTTTTTGACATCAAAATTTACATTTAAAATATCATCTTGGGGGCCAGATAAGAGATAAACAAGGGCCACATTTGGCCCCGGGGCCTTGAGTTTGACACATATGTACTACAGCAACAGTAATTAGAGAGACAGGTAGGAAGGTACTTGGTGTGTCACCTGGACAGAGAATGGATGTTCAGGAAACCTGGTGGTGGAATAGTGAAGTGCAGGAAGATGTTCAAAGAAAGAGATTAGCCAAGAAGAAATATGACAGAGAGAGGACTGAAGAGAGGAGACAGGAATATAAGGAGATGGGACGTAGAGCAAAGAGGGAGGTAGCTAAGACAAAGCAGAAGGTGTATGATGAGTTGTATGGGAGACTGGACACTAAAGAGGGAGAGAAGGACTTGTACTGATTGATGAGACAGAGGGATCAGGCTGGAAAGGATGTGCAGCAGATTAGGCTTGTTGAAGACAGAAATGGTAATGATCTAACAAGTGAGAAGAGTGTGACGGAAAGATGGAAGGGTACTTTGAGGAGCTAATGAATGAAGAGAATGAAAGAGAAAGAAGAGTAGAGGTCATAGAAACTATGGACCAGGAAGTGGGAAAGATCAGTGAGGGTGAAGTCCAGAAAGCTCTGAAAAGAATGAAGAAGGGGAAGGCAGTGGGACCTGATGACCAGTGGAGGTTTGGAAATGTCTTGGTTCAAGGTTCTTTATTCTCATGAGCATCACATGTGGTACATGAGGTGGAACGAAATTGACACCCAGTTTGGGGTGTCTTCTAGACATCATCCTAAACATTTCCAAACAGGATTCTCTAAATAAATTGTTTATTTCTACATCATTTCTCCTCTCGTTGGCATGAAAGGATAACCGAAGCTCAACTTTTTCAACTTTTCCATCTCGCTGTTTGTGTTTCTCAGAGCCGATCCTAGCATGCCCGCTGCAGAGGGAGAGCACGGATCAAGAGGAAGCTCAACTGTCCCCTCACGCCGTGGGTCGTCCGATCCGCCAGCTGCTGGAAGAGGAAAGTGACCCGATGGTGTCTCCTCGCTTCTACGCCTATGGGCACTGCCAGCAGTATGTGGACGACACAGAAGTACCTCCGTCCCCACCCAATGCGCACTCTTTTATCACGTACGCTTGTTAAATCTTCTGCATTTGTTTTTTAAAAGAGGAAAAGGGAAGTGTCCGTGTTGACCGGGTTATTGTTTTGTCCAGTCGTAAACGGAGTTCCTCTCTGGGCTCCTGTGATGATGAGCGAGAGGAGCTGACCTCTGCTCAGCTCACAAAGAGGATTCATGTGCTGAAGAAAAAGATCCATCGGTTTGAGGAGAAGTTTGAAGAAGATCGAAAGTACAGGGTATGTACCGGTAATTCACTTCAGTTTATTTCTGTAGCTCTAAGTCCCAACAGAAGTTGTTCAGGGCACTGAATACAAACATTCACAGACTTTATAAAAGACAATCAGCAAAAGTTATGTATCTGAGGAAGCAGCAGATTGTGTTGAATCTTCACTTCATCACAGTCTCCCATCCTGAGCGAGAACAAAGGAGACAGTGGAAATTAAAAACTCCCTTCAACAGGAAGAAACTTCCAGCAGACCCAGGGTCAGGTCGAGCGACTATCTGCTTCAACCGACTGGTTTGAGAGGGCAGGAAGTAGAAACAGACACAGACCGACAGGTCCAGGTGTGGTTTCTATAGGAGGAAAGACAAAAAGCACGTTAAGATAGAAATAACTACAAACAGGTTGAGTAGAGCAAGTAAAGACAGCAGAGAGAGGACATGAGGTCAGTTTGTCCTCCAGCATGGGATGTAATGCTGTAAAGAGATAAGTACAGAGTAATCTGCAACTGTTTTTGTGAACAGTCTATTTGAACATGTTCTTTCTCCTTCTCAGCCCTCCCACAGTGATAAAGTGGCAAATCCTGAAGTGCTGAGATGGGTGAATGAATTGGCCCAGCTTCGTAAAGAGCTTAAAGGTAAGAACGCAGTAGGTAAATGAAGCACAAGTGAGATAGGTGGCACCAAACTAAAAAGAAACGCCCATGTTTTATACCAGAACGCAAGCTAATAAAGTCTGAGGAAGACCTGCCTCCTCAGACTCGCCAGCGCAGCAACACACTCCCCAAGAGCTTCGGCTCTCAGCTAGACAAGAAGCCTCAGCAGGAAAAGGCGCCAAAGCCTCCGGTGGAAAACACCCTGGAGTTCATCTTAAAGAAGCTGCAGGAGAAGAGAGAGGAGATGAACCGCCCCGAGGACATCAAGGTGAAAACCACCTCCATGCCGCACATTTAAATTCAAACATGTCCACCAGAGAATATCATGCCGATTCATTTCCTGTCACCCTGCCAACAGGATATGACACGGGAGCAAATTGGAGCTGAGAAAGTTGCCCTGCAAAAAGCTCTCCTGCACTATGAGAGCATCCACGGTCGACCTGTAAGCTCTCTTCCTCCTCCTTCCTGAGTAAACTGATCTCTTGTCAGCCATGTTTTGACTTGTACGACTGGTTTGAGGACATATCTGTTGCACATAGAACATGTTAGATATGAAACCCAAAGCATGAGCTGGCATTGACTGTAGTTTTTACTCTGCGGACACAGTGATATGTTAGAAAGCAGCTGAAACTAACAGTGCTCCTTCATTTTGCTATTCCAGGTGACCAAAAATGAGAGGCAATTCATGAAACCAATGTATGACCGATACCGCTTGGTGAAACAGATCCTCTGCAGAGCCACCACCATCCCCATCATAGTAAGTATTGCGTCTTAAATTCCTTTTTGCTGCCTCCTCTAATCCCTGATGGTGTTGGCTGCAGAGTCCGTGTAACAGTCACGCCACAGATGTGTCAGCAGTTCATCCTGCTTTACTTATCAGACTATCCTCATTCACGGTTGAGATATATAGATGATGGTCTGGATGTGAAAGGCACTACGCATGTCATGTGATTTTCTCTGATAATAATGGACCGATGGACTTCATTCACTTACAAGGTAAAGCTAATTTAATGCAACATTTAAAAGTCATGGAATGTGTGTGCTCCTTTTTTGGGGGGAGGTTTATTTCACCCCTCTTTGAGGCAAAACGGCATCAAAACCAAGTCCCCCCCTTTCTCTTTGTCAAGAGCCGATAACCGGAGTCCCATATCCTTACTGGCTAAATACCACGCAAAGGGTCCACCTCTATTTTAAACACAGGCGTTTTGATTGGACAAACAGTTCCAAAATACACCGTGCACTCTTCAAACTTGCACTTAGTCTCTTTTTTATTTTACTTAGCTCTTTGTAAGGCGGCACGGTGGCGCAGTTGGTAGAGCTGCCACCTCTCAGCGAGCAGGTCGCCCCAGTTCAAACCCCAGCCGGGGACCTTTCTGGGTGGAGTTTGCATGTTCTCTCCGTGCTGCGTGGGTTTTCTCCGGGTACTCCAGTTTCCTCCCACAGACCAAAAACATGCATGTTAGGTTGATTGGTGACTCTGAATTGTCCCTAGGTGCGAGAGAGTGAATGGTTGTTTGTCTCGTTTGTCTCTGTGTCCCTGTGATGGACTGGAGACCTGTCCAGGTGTCCCCTGCCTCTCTCACACTGATAGCTGGGCATGGGCACCAAGCGGGTAAAGATATCGAATGGATAGATGGCTGAATGGATGGATGGATCTTTGTCTCTTTTTCTCTTCAATTTTTTGTTTTACTTTATTTTTTGGTTGGTCTCATGTTTTCGTTGGCCCAGCTGCACCATTCATTCTTTGTTCACACTTGTTTACGTCAACCAGAACTACTGTTTTTTTTCCAAGCATGGTTCTAAAGAAAAACCGTCAGAACTTTAGTCTAAACTCCAACATTTTGAGCACATTCTCCTCCTCGGAAGAATTGCACCACTCCTGAACTTGTGAGACCACACAGAACCTAACACTGTTCCAACCTGAGCACCGGATAGCCAAAAACAGATCCAGGTACCCTCGCGAGATCATCCTCCGGGATCACCTATCGGATCCGGCTCACTCACCTGCCTCGTATCTGTCCACCCGCTGAACCAGAACTATGGCTCGGTAGGACAAAACAAATCATTCGCTGGTGATCATCGTGCTCCAATTCCACGAGACTTTGATAAGTTTCCCAATTTTAGAATTTCTGCCAACCTTTAATTTTATTTTGTGTTTGGTTTCAGTTAAATCGGCCTCTAAAAGGTCAAATTCCATTTTTTACCTCAAAGCAACATCTTTTTTATCCATATATGATATGACATTTTTGTTTACTTCAAGTTTACACTTCAGGATCACTTCTGAACATCTTTCCCCATCCAGGTTCTCCATAATGTTATTATATTCATATCTGTTAATAAATGTTACGGTGACAAAACAATTCAGTTATGCGTGGGTGTTTTAATGTAATTATGATGTTACTCCAAAGAAAAGAACATCATTTACTTCTTTCAAAGGTGGTGCTTTGAGGATAGATAATTTATGAATTATTAATAATTCATGACATCTAATCTATAACATATACCTGTACATACTATTTTGGCGCTTCCCACGTGAGGCTTTGGAAAATCATTTTTATATTAAAACGCACTCGATAACATCTTCACGCTGAGTTTCTGCTGGACTGTGAGCATAAGACTCTTATTTTGAAAGTTCTGTAACTGCGCTGCTGTGCTTAAGAACTTCTGAGCTGTTGTGTATTTGTTGTTAAAAGTTTCAGACCTGCTGAAACGTGATGAAGTGGTAACTATTGTTGAACAACTGTTGAACTTTGCACTTTTGAAGTAATTGTGGACACACAGTTCTTCCCCATTGCGTGTGTGTCGTAACCTGCTCTGAGCAGACTGTTGTAGCAAACCTAAATCTTGTGAAATCATTTTTATGCGTGCATGTTTAATTGGATTGTGGCCGAAAGGTAAACGAGTAATAGGAAGGAGGGCTAATGAGGGCTTGCAACTTGTTGATAGAAAAGCTCAGGAAGTTCTCACACACTTCTGTGGCGTTCTCCGGGCTGTCCGATTGTGGGGCATTAAGAGCAGAGTTCATGGGTTTAAAAAGCGCACGTGAATTGCTACAGTTGGAGGAAATGATGTCAGAGAAATATTAGTTTTTAACAGTTGTTTGATAGAAACGCCAGCTGTCCCTCAATGTTTGGAAAGACACCTGTAACTTGTCCTTCTTCCGTTTTTGCTCAGCTGTCCTGCACTGGTGCCTGGCAGCACATGTGACATCATTTGCCCAGGGCTCGGTTTTGGGTTTAGACGGTCTTATTTTTGATGGAGCCACAGCATCTAAAACAGTTTGACCAGTTGCAACGAGATGAAAGAGCCTCAACATCTGAACAAGGCTCCACAGGATCCGTGGAGCCGATGGCAGAACTAAAAGCTCCAGAGACCTGAGCAGCAGCGGAGTCAATGACCCGACAGGGCTGTGCAGGCGCACGAGGTTTGACTGAGTGACAGATGAGTGGCATGTGAAACATGACAGGCATGTGGTCTGAAAAAGCAGCATCACAAATTTCCAGATTAGAAACATTAAAACAAGATCTAAAGTGTGGTCACATTCTTGTGTTGGACCAGACCTTCTAACCTGCGTTTAGCCTTTGATCGACTTTGAGAATCTCAAAGTCTGGATCAGCCAAGATCTTTACGATGCCTTGGCGTAAGGCCTTGGCCACCCTGACCTCCAGATGTTTAGGAAGACTTTCCGCTTCCCATCTGTTTCCACTTCCCATTTCCCTGAAATCTTTTCGTGTCTTGATAGCAGGAGGTGTCTGTGCCCTCAAGCTTAAATGGAACCACAGGGAACTGATTCCTTGTAGTCCCAGACCTGTCTCATTCTGTGTACAGCAGACATCCTAGTCCGACTTAGTGTCAGACTAGGACTTAGTGACTTAGTGTCCTGAGCCTGGTTTTGCTAAATGCTTCTTCCTCATGAGGGACTTTTTCCTTTCCACTGTCGCCTTCATGCTTGCTCAAGATGAGAGTTCTGTGATGGAGTTAAACTCAAAGCAGTCTGTCCTTCAGATAAAGTCTTAAATTATTATTTTTATATATGAATGTTTCTGTTAACTTATTTTACATACGAATATTTATGTTCAGTGCCCTGAGATGACTTCTGTTGTGAATTGGCGCTACATAAATAAACTGAATTGTTCAGGTGGACCATTAACAATGTTTATAATACACATTTATACAGTTCTCTACTGTATCTGTACAAAGCTAATCTGAACAAATCATTCTATGGGGACTAATTAGTGCTTTATATCACATTCATACACTGATGGTACACAAGTCAGTGGCAGTGTGGGATTCAGTATCTTGCCCAGGGACACTTCAACATGTGACTGCATAGTGGTAGAATCAAACCCCCAACTCCCATTGTAGAACGAACGCGTTACTCAGCCTCAGCTGCCCCAGAGCAGGTGTGTAGCTTCCACATTCATGTGCTGCAGCCATCACCCCTGCTCTGCCACAGTCAACTGACAACGAAGTCTCAGTCGAACCTGCATTTTCAGACAACAATCTCTTGAGTTCCAATCACTGGATCAAACCTTCAGCTAGGTGGTTCACTACCTAGCTGATCTGGATGTAAACACTCCATCATCAGATGAACTTACTTCAGTCCTTGAGTTCCGCACTCTTTTTAAAATCCACTCTTTCCTGAACATTGTGAAGGGCATTCAAGTATTTGTTCCCTTGCCAACATCTTTCCCTGCGTTTGTGGTGTCTCAGGATCACAGGGGGGTGATGCTAGTACACGCCCATGTTCTTCTATCTTAAGGACACAAAGACGCCAAAGCAACACTTAATGCGTTACAGCAAGTTGCTTACTGGCCAGGAAGGCACAAAAATGTAAATGATTACATCAAAGGGTGCTTTGGTCTTGTTAGTTCCTACTTGCAAGACCACTTCACAGAACACCTTTTACTAATTAGAGGGATCACATTTCCGTGGTCTGATTTACAGATGAATGGGTGGGACCACTCACCAGATGGGCCAGAGGGAACAAATACTTCCTCACTGTGACCTGTGCATTGATCAAATTGACTTAAAGCCTACTGGCTGCTAATGACATGGCACACACCACTGCTCATGAATCACATCTTCACAAGGTTTGGACTTCCCATTCAGGTCAAGTCTGACAGATGTACACACTTCACTGCTAAGGTGATGCAGGAACTTTGGTGAATGCTAGGTGTTAAAGTCAATTTCCATATTGGCTACTATCCCCAAGCATTAAGTCAAGTTGAGCCATCCAACAGAACAGTGATCAGTCTACTTAAGAAATATGTGGCCACCAACTGCCCCTTGTCCTAATGGCCATCCAATCAACTCCACATCAGCCCACTGGCATTTTGCTGTTCAAGATGATGACCGGTCAAGATATGATTCTCCCTTTACACCTACTTCACCAACCTGGTGAAGCCAATGCAGCTATAGCTTACATGACCCACTAGTACATAAAGTATCTGAATAAACAACTGTGAAACACCTTTGCATTCGAACAAGAACTGCAGTTTTTTTTTTCTGGCATAGTTTTAAAGTAAAGCCAGTCAGATCTTTAAGCTAAACATCAACTTTTTGAGATCATACTCCTCCTTGAAGAATTGCTCCAGAACTTAGGAGGCCGTACCGAGCCGGGTGCTGTTCTGACTTTAGAATAATAAGTGCTATGTGTTGTCATCATTGTATGTTCCCATACAATGGCAAAATTAGTTCTCTGCATTTAACCCATTGCACCTGGGATACACCCAGATGGAGCAGTGGGCAGCTATGTAAGCGCCCAGGGAGCAATTTGGGATTAGGTGTCTTGCTCAGAGACACCACAACATGTGGGAATGGTTGGAGATCGAACCTGGGACTTTTGGGTCCCGAGTTGGCTGCCCTACCTCTCGTCTTCTCCTATATCTCGTCTTTCAGTTCTGTCACAGTACTGTGCAAAGCCACAACCTCTTCTGACCAAATCCTCAACATCTTTAGCACTCAGTTTAACCTGGTCTGGTTTGGCTTGGAGTGCCGTGGTACCATTAGCCATCTCCGCCGTCACTGCTTGAAGTTCACCCTTAATAAAGGCAAGATCCTCTGCGACGGCGGCTTTAATTTACGATTTAAGCCAGAATGTCCGACTTCAGGGCCGACACGTAGGTCTCTCTGGGACCTGGTGAGGGCGGAGCTGAGTTCCTGGCTTTCCAAGTACTGTGGTCCGAGGCAGTGTCGGGAGAGATCCCGATCTCTCCTTCCAGTGAGATCCCAAAGCAGACATGTCAAAGCAGGGTCTGTGTCTGAATAATGCAGAATGCAGGCAGAAGCAAAGATTTAATGCGCTTTGACGGCCTTGAAAGGACAAACACCCCCTCAGCTCCGATCTTCTGCCCCCTTAGCTGTGCATGTCCGCCGACCGTTAATACCTACAGTATATAAGCAGTCAAAGTTTAATAAAAAATGTCCGGGGGGGTGTTCGGGTTCAGACCTGTAATTAATGTTAATTTGTCGGGTCGGGTTCAGAAATGATGGCTATGGGCTGGGACTGGGTTGGGTCAGATGTTTTGGGCCCGAATGCAACGCTACTTGTCCCCCTCTTAACCATACTGATTTGCCATAAGTTGTTATATTCGTATCTGTCAAATGTCACATAAACAGTGCCAAACTTAATTTAGTTGTGTGGGTGTTTTAGTGTAAGTCCAAAGAAAAGAACTCATCATTTAGGGTAACTTATTGAGACTGATAATTATATAAACCATAGATTTATATATTTTACGTTTTTTCGAAGGTGGTGGTTTGAGGCTAAATAATTTATGAATTTTTTAAAATTCATACCATCAAATCTACAACATACATATCCCTACATCTGCAAATTAGAATCTGCAGTGTGGGCATACAACTCATTTAATGCACAACCGACTCCTCAAAACTGCAAAACTAAAATTTGTCAAAGTCCTTTTTATTGATTATGGTTGTTATTTTTTACTGTTCTGTTCTCTGCAAACACCAGTCAGAAACAATGCAAATTAGTTGTATAACGACTTCAAAGGAACAGTCTGCTGCTTGTGGCCTTGCTGTCTCATTCATTGTTGGAGTGGGCGTCTGCGTGTGGTCGTTAATTCCTCCTTCTCAACCGCCACCACAGGGCTCCCCCTCCAGCAAGCGCAGAGGTCCTCTCCTTCAGCCCATTATTGAGGGTGAAACTGCACTTTTCTTCGATGATATCAAGGTGAAGAGCTGTTCCACCTGCTCCAGTAATCAGTGAACCTTGCCTTGCTCCAACCCCTCATGCTTCCTCCTGATTCTCTACCATCCTCCCTCTAACGAACCTGATGGGAGCCTGTTGATTGAGTGGCTGTAGAACTGTTGAATCAGTAGCTGCTGATGTTTCATAAACATGTGATGCTGTTTTACTGTAAGCTTCACTTCATGCATTCATTCACCTAAGCTTCTCTAGTTTGGTTTTGGTGATGAGATACCAAAGTTTAACACATGGGGTTATGGCATCCATTTAAATCAGTTGTGAAGTAAACTGTGATTAATAACCACTGTTGACTAACACTGCATGATCTTCATGCTGTACAGTGCTTCAGCCCTGTTTGGTCTAACCTTTCGGTTGGTGTCTGTAGAACCTGTATGTGGGTTGTATTATTTCTTTTCGTGCTGTTTTTGTGCAGGAGGAGGAAGATGGCTCGGAGGACGACAGTGACACCAAGGCTCAGTTAAATGTGACCATAAGGCCTGAGCTTGGCGTGTTCATCTTCATGGACCCCATGGATGAGGAAGTGGACGGTTTCATTTCACCTGTAGATGAACTTTCGCCCTCCAAAACCTCAGGAGACATGGACCTGTCCAACTTGCATTCAGCTTCCACGTGAGTACAGAAATAAGAGATGCACTTCTTGATTATTGTAGGAGGAAACCAGAATGTTTTCTTGCTCCTTAATCATTTATTGACCTTAAACTGCTTTGCCCCCTTTACAGAAGAGCATTTCACGCTTCACAAATTACTCGCTAGGACCATGCTGGTGTAGCTTTCATCGTCTCCCATCACGGAGTGAAGAGGGGAGTTCGATTCAATTCAATTCATTTCTTTAGCACCAAATCACAACAAAAGTCATCTCAGGGCACTTTACACAAACATTCACATGCATACAAAAGGCAATTAGTAAAAGTTATCTGTCTAAGGAAGCAGCAGGTTGTGTTGAATAATAATATAACAAGCTCTATGTGTTGTCATCATTGTGTGTTCCCATACAATGGCAAAATTAATTCTCCGCATTTAACCCATCACACCTGGGATACACCCAGGTGGAGCAGTGGGCAGCTAGCTACTGAGCGTCCGGGGAGCAGTTAGGGATTGGGTGTCTTGCTCAGAGACACCACAATATGTGGGAATGGCTGGGGATCGAACCTGGGGCTTTCGGGCCCTGGGTCGGCTGCCCTGCCTCTACCCCATCATGTTATTAGAGTCTCCCATCCTAAGCAAGCACAAAGGAGACAGTGGAAAGGAAAAGCTGCCTTTTAACTGGTAGAGCAAGTAAAGACGCAGCAGAGAGAGGAGATGTGGTCAGTTTGTCCTCCAGCAGTCTAAGCCTATAGCAGCAGAATTAAGGGATACCTCAGGAAACCCAAACCAACCCTAACTATAGGATTTATCAAAAAGGAAAGTCTTCAAACTGGACAATGTGTCAGCCTCATGGACAGAAACTGGAAGTTGGTTCCACAAGAGAGGAGCCTGAGAACTGAAAGATCTTCCTCCCATTCTGCTGCTGGAAACTCTAGGAACCACAAGTAAACCTGCAGTCTGAGAGTGAAGTGCTCTGTTAGTAAAATATGGAACAATAAGATCTGTAATATAAGATGGAGCTAGGTTGTTGAGAGCTTTGTAGGTCAGAAGATTTTGAATTCAGTTCTGGATTTGACAGGGAGCCAATGGAGAGAAGCTAAAACTGGAGAGATATGATCTCTCCCAGTAACTCCAGTTAAGACTCTGGCAGCAGCATTTTGGATCAGCTGAAGACGTTTTAAAGTGTGATCTGTCACATTACAGCCTATACTAGTTTTTAATCTGCTGCAAGTGCAGAAATAAAAAGCAGCTTCTTTTCACCCCTCATCCAAATATCAGTTATTTAAAAATAATCCGGCAGCATCTGATTCAGACCCACCGTGGTCGTTTTCCTCCCATCCCCCTCAAAGAACGATCAGAAGATAATCACGTTACACAATGGACAGATGTAGATGTTACTGAGAGCATGGGCTGCAAAAAATATTTAAAAACGCTCGTTTAACTTGTGGACTCGACCCGTACTGTGAATATTTAAAATCCTGATATGTAAAGTTTTTGTAGAAACCATTCCCACACAATCCTGTGCCTGATTTCATTCTGTTCACCAGCAGCAGAAAACTGGTTTTGGTGTCTGAGTGAGAAATTAGTTTTTTTAATGACGGATCAAACATCTTCATAGACGACAAACCGTTTCCCTTCATTTTGTTTTTTTATTTGAGACGTTTCTTCATCCAAAGGACTTCATCAGTCAGAGGAGCCACAATCAAACTGAGTCCCACAAGCAGCACACTCGCATAGTGGGAAGAAAAAAACCAGTTTGATGGTGATAAGATGGTTTCTGGGGCCTCCCCTGTCGACTCCTCTGAGGCAGCCATGTCAAAGTGGTTCAGAACAAAGTTCATGCTCAATAATTCAGGTACAAATCCAACAATGTTCAGTCAGGTCACCTGGATGTTTTTTTTTTTTTTTTTTGCCACTTTTTGTCTCAGAAAAAAAAAAAAGTCCAGGTGACCTGACTGAACATTGTTGGATTTGTACCTGAATTATTGAGCATGAACTTTGACGTTTCCCTTCGTCTTCTTCTGTAAGCCCTTCCAGAGACAAAGATTATGGACCAAGGCGTCCGGAAGCTTTGCGTTTTAGAATAAGACTAAAAGATAAACTATACTCAAGCTAAAAACATGCTGACACGGAAGAACAAGCCAAAATTTGCACAAGGCTGACACATTGTCCAGTTTAAGACTTTCCTTTCTGATAAATCCTATAGTTAGGGTCGGCTTGTTATGCTGCTATAGACTTAGACTACTAGAGGACAAACTGACCTCATGTCCTTAAATGAATTGTTAAAATTGAATAGTTTTCATTTGATACTGTTTCTATATTAACATGTGATTCTTGACCTGCCATTGTGTATCTATTCCTACCAAACCCAGCCGGTCGAAGCAGATGGTCCTCTTGTCCTGATCCTGGTTCTGCTAAAGGTTTCTTCCTCATGAGGGAGTTTTTCTTTCCACTGTCGCCTTCATGCTTGTTCAAGATGAGAGTTCAGTGATGGAGTTAAACTCAAAGCTGCTCCTCACATAAATAATGTTCAATTATTATTTTATACATGAATGTTTCTGTTCATTGCTCTGAGATGATTCTGTTGTGACTTGGAGCTTTAGAAATAAACTGAACTGAATTAAATTCAGGATTGTCCTGAATGAGCCGAACGTTTTGATTTATGATTTGTTGAAATAGCACAAAAATTGTGGAACGAGAAAGATGCAGAAAAATGTACGAAAGAAAAACATGTGAACGCTTCATAAACATTCACTCTATTGTGATCCGTTTTTCTTCTGTACGTTTTTCAGCTCGATTCTCGTCCTACAGTTTTCATCTATTTCAATAAATCTAAATCAAAACGTTCGTCTCTTTCAGGACAATCCTCCTATGACTTTTGGTTTTGGTGCAACTTTAGCTTTTTGAAATATTTAGCCTTTTCTTCAATTTTTTTCTCATAGAAAATGAACTGAGCTCATTTTGCATCCTTCAGATCTTTAGATGTGTTTACAGCCTTTTCCTGCTCCTTTCACATTTTGTTTTGCTTCAGCTTCTTTCAGCTTCCTGTTGCTAATTTTAACTTTTTTTCTTTCAGCTCCTTTCAGCTGTTTGTGCTCCTTTCAGATTATTTTTGCTAACTACAACATTTTTGTGCTTCTAACTTCTTTTTGCTAATTTCAGCTCGTTTTGCTCCTTTCTGCAAGTTTCAGCCTTTTCTACTATTTCAGCTACTATATAGCCATTTTATGCTAATTTAAGCTTTTTAAGCTAATTCCACATTTTTTGCACTCATTTGAACTTTTTCAGCCTAATTCAGCAAACGTGCACTCACCACTTCCTTCTTGAAATTTAAACTTCTTTCTGCCTTTTTAGCTACATTTCAGCTATTTTATTTTTGGTTATTTCAGCTTTTATCAGAAAATTCTGCCGTTTTTATTTCTGCTTCTTTCAGCCTACTTGGGAAAACGTGTGTTCTTTCTGCTTTCTTCTGCTAATTTAAGCTTGTTCTAACTTTTTAGCTACATTTTTAAGCATTTTTAGCCAGTTTCGGCTGTTTTCATATAAATTCAAGTTTTTCATGCTAATTTCTGCTACTTTCAGCCTAATTAACTTCTTTATGCTAATTTCAGCTTGTTATGCGCCTTTCAGCTTAATTATGCTAGTTTCAGCTATTTCTATTAGTTCAGCTAGCATTTAGCTGTTTTTATGCTAACCGTAGTTTTTTCATCTAATTCCACATTATTTTTTTAGCTCATTTCAGCTCTTTCAGCTTCCATCTGGTAGTTTAAGCTTCTTTCTGTCTCAGCTACTTTGCAGCAATTTATTTTGCTAATTTGTTTTTCAGCTAATTTTTGTGCTAATTTCTTCCTATTTAAACCCGTTTCAGCAAGTGTGTGTTCCGATTTCTTCTGCAAATTTAGGCTTATTCTTCCATGTCAGCTAAATTTCAGCATGTTTTTTTAATAGCTAATGTCAGCTGTTTCTCAGCAGGTTCTTCTGCAGCACGCACTCACACGGCATTTTCTCAGGAAATGTGATTTGTGTAGTTGTGTTTAGTTTCAACCTGAACAGGGTTTGGTGCGAGATGTTTAAACGCGTCCTGCTTGCTCGGTCTCAGGCAGGAACTCGTTGAGCAGCTTCAGGAGACGAGAGAGGAGAAGAAGAGGATCCGCAAGAACCTGAAGGAGTTCGAGGACCAGTTCTTCAGACAAAACGGGAGGTAAGAGGCGGAGCAAGCGAGCCGTAACGTTTGTCTTTAGGACCGTCTCCAACGTTCTGCCGTCTCATTTTTTAAAAGGACTGTCCAGAAGGAGGACCGCTCCCCGTTGGCAGACGAGTACCACGAATACAAACACATCAAGGCCAAGCTGCGGCTGCTGGAGGTGCTCATCAGCAAAAGAGACTCCAGTAAATTCATCTGAGACTACATTTTTACAAAGCGCTGACGGGACAATAAAGGCGAACACATCTGTTGGAAGAAACCGAGATCGACATGCTGCTCTGGGATCAGCTGACCTTGAAGTTTTGTGTAACCTGTTCATCTACTCTGTCAAACACGCTGGGGGCGGAGTCATCCAGCCCACCTGTGACTGATTCACACCTGCGTCACCTGAGAACTGCCGGACCTCACCTTCAAATCTGGACGTTCGTCCAGACGAAGTCACAGACGCACAAATGATGTAAATCACCTCGTTATGATGCTAATAATTTATTTTACCAATTTAAAGTTTTTCAAGTAAGAAAGCCGTTCTCTTCTGTTTAACTGTAGAGAAGTACTGGAGTAAAATGGCTGTAGGTGTCAAATTATTTTTTGAAAGAATTTGTGAATAAAAGGTGTATTTATGTGTATTTTCCATGGGAGGTGTCGCTGTTATTTCATTTAGTGACGTTTATTTCAGCTTCCACCTTCACGCTACATCTGAAAGGATCTTTCTTCTTCTTTAGAAGCTTAAATTAAAACTTTCACCACAGCCCAAAGATCGCAGCCAGAGTTCCCGGAGGATGAGAGGGTGGCTTCCCTGCACCTTCGGGTGGGGGGACGGGCTCTGACTCATTGTCCTACACGCCAAACGGCAGTTCAGAGTATCCGGCCTTCTTGGAGTACTTGGTTGGGGGGGCTGGAAGGTGTTCCAGCTGGGGACTCCTTTATTCTGGTGGGGGACTTCAATGCCCACGTGGGTAACGACAGTGTGACCTGGTGGGCGTGACTGGGAGGAACGGCCTCAGACCTGAACCTGAGCGTGTTCTGTTGTTGGACTTCTGTCTGGTCACAGTTTGTCCATGAGACACCATGTTGGAACATCAGGGTGTCCATCAGTGCTCCTGGCACCAGGACGTCCTACGTCTTAGATCGATGATCGACTTCATAGTCGTGTCATCTGATCTGTGGCCGTTTGTTTTGGACACTCAGGTGAAGAGAGGAGCTGTCAGCTGATCACCACCTGTAGTGGGTTGGGTCAGACGGTGGGAGAAGATGCTGGACAGACCCGGTAGACCCAAACACGTAGTGAGGGTTTGCTGGGAACGCCCGGCAGAAGAACCCGTCGGAGATCTTCAACTTGCACCTCCGGGAGAGCTTGAACTGCATCCCAGCTGAGGTGGAGTCCGCAGCCTTGGCTGTTGCCGAGGCAAAAGCTCGGATGTGGGAGGAGTTCGGTGAGACCTTGGATAAAGACTCTCGGTCGGCTCCGAGAAGATTCTGTCAAACCATCAGGCAGCTGAGGAGGAGGAGCAGCTCTTTACTAACGTGTCCAGTGAAGGTGGGTGCTGTTGACCTCAACCAGTGATGGCATCAGGAGGTGGAAGGAATACTTCTCGACCACACGGGCACGTCTTCCATGGAGCAAGCTGAGTTGGGGACTTTGGGGTTGGTCTGTCCGTAACGTGGCTGAGGTGGTCGAGGTAGTTAAAAGCTCAGGTGGCAGAGCTCCTGGGGCGGATGAGATTCACCCTGATTTCATTAAGGCTCTGGATGTTGTGGGGCTGTCTTGGTTGACACGCCTTTGCAACATCGCGTGGACATCGGGGTCAGTGCCACTGGATAGGCAGACGGGGGTGGTGGCTCCAACATGTCCGACTGGGAGGAGACACCGGGGAAGACCCAGGACACGCTGGAGAGACCACGTCTCAGTTGGTCTGGGAACACCCTGGAGTCCTCCCAGAAGAGGCGGCTGGACCTCCCTGCTCAAGATGCTGCCCCCGAGACCCGAGTCCAGAACAAGAGGAAGATGATGGATGGATGGATGTCTTGTTTTATGGAAAGGTTATTAACAATAATACTGTGGCTGTTTAAATGTGAAACAGGAAAAAAATCAAGAGGAAAATATGGAAATAAATTAATTGTAACCAGATTAACTCTGACTTGTGCAAACGTGGTTCGTCAGTGTTTTAAAACAAGCCTGAAAAAATTTGGAGCACTTCATGCAAATGCTTTTTTTAAACTGGTTAATTTGGCAGCTACACATTTATACTCTTGCTGGAAGTGCCTCGTGCTGCACAGTAGGTGTCCAGTTCGCTTGTAAAGAATTAATGTTTATGTCAGTACCACTTTAAGCTAAATCGACGGTAAAGATTTAGAAAATTGCTTTTGGTGCAACACGATGTAAAACCCTTCAGCTCTGAATGGTTTTATTTTGGCAGCAGTCTACACTGGTCTTTGCTCAATTATTTAGTTATCAAACTTTGACTGTTCCTTCATTTTCCAGCTGAAATGCAGACAACAAGTCACTGAACTTCAAATCAAACAGCATTTATAACCGAACGCACAGGTTTTTAGTATTGATGAACAAATATGGCTCATGCTTAACTTTTGCACATACAAACAGTAACTTGTCTATAAAGCAACGCTGAACAAAAGCATTTGTTATGAATTTATTACGGCACAAACTGAAATAAAAAACGCAGTATTTATTTAAGTGTGGGGCTTGGGCCAAATGTCCAACGTTAAGTTTTAAATGTGGAAAGCACGACGTGACCGTCGAAGCTGCTTTATGATCCACAACTGAACAGGAAGTAAATGATGATTAGAACGTGTCGGCCTGATCCGTTTAATTAAAACTCACCAGCTCTTCCTTTCTTTTATAAAAAGCAAGAATCAAATGTCCAGATTTAAAAGTAGCGGTACGACTAACGTCAAAGCAAGAGTTTGTATTCAAGGCGCTATTTACACACATTAAACACTTACTTAGTCAAAATAAGTTGGTAAATATTCTCTTTAATAAATTAAAATCATCCAATGCAACACAATGTGTCGGGGTAAGAGCAGAGCCTTTTAAACGGTAAAAATAGAATTTAAGGAATATAAAATACACAGCTTTGAAAAACAAACAAACAAAAACAGATGAAATAAACTCCCAGAATTCATTTCTGTTCCAGTAAATTCCTGATCCCAGGTCATCATGCAAATTTCAGAGCGCATATAGTTTTAAATACACGGACATGTTTTGTAATATTCATGTATCAGCTGTTGAAATCCTAGAACTGCTGAGGAGTTAAAAACTTGTAACATGAAGAAAACACATGATCTGAATGTGCGCACAAACCTTTCAGAGCTAAGTAACCCGCCTGTGGCCGTCTTGCAGCGCGACACGCTCACGGGGTGTATTGCTGTTAACGAGCACCGAGCTCCTCAGACCAGGCTGAAGCCCTCGTACTGCTCCACTGCCTGGGTGAGGTGGCGGCGCAGGATCTCTTTGGTCTGGTAGCAGGGCATGTCGAGGAGGTTGTAGCAGGTGTGGGCTACAGGCAGGTAGTGCTCCTCAGCTGGGGTGGACTGGATGACGATACGCAGGCTCCCCATGCCGTGGATGGGAATACGATCGGTGCCGGTGAGGAACACTGCAGCCAAGATACACAGATGGTGGACCTCAAACAAACTGCAGTGAACTCGTGCTTTGGAGTTCTCATGTTTTTTGTGTGGTTCATGAAAACCGAGTCCTTGTCACAAAACCGTTCTGCAACGCGGCCACAAAGATGAACTTCAAGAGGCGAGCTGGCCAGGCCTCACAAAGACGTGTGTCAACCAAAGCATCACAGAGTCAAAAAGGAAAGTCGACACTTCAGAGTCCAGTTTGAGTTAGAAGGAGACAAACTGTCATCGTTAACGTCTCACACTCGAACCAGTTGTCCACAGCTCAAAGGCATAAAAGCAGTGGGTTGACTTCAAACCCCTTCAGTTTGAATCATTAAAATCATTTAATGTCCCTCATTTAAAAAATCTGGTCATAATCACAAATATTATACATAATGACTAAATTCTAATGAATGTATTTCTGAATATGTTTGAGTAAAACTTGAAAAGATTTACTCAAACATATTCAGAAATACATTTACTTCATTTAGCTGCGCCTTAGAAATGGTATTTTTATAAAGCGTGGAACAAACAAATCAACTAACGTATGAAATGTCATGAAATAAAACAAGGACAATTGTAATTATCAACTACAGAAACCATTTGAATTAAATCAGTATTATTAAAAAAATCAAAGTACTAGATGCAAGTATAAAAAAAACTTTGGGAGATTTCATATCTTATGATAATTCACACACTAATTCTAAAACACCCATTTTAAACTCCATACACAGGAAATGCTGATTTAGTTCAAGATGTTTGTAGCACAGACAAAGTGCTGCTTTATTTTTCTCAAGCAGCAACAACTTGATTTATTACAAAGGAAAATCAGTTTATGATTCACCTGCGTGCACATTAATAAAGAGAGTATAATGAAATACTTGCATAAGAACTGCTTCTTCTTGACCAAAGGGAACTCGTGGAACACCTCCCAGAACAACCGGACTGTTGGGTGAGCGGACGTGAACTCCCCCCTGTAAACGGCATTCTGCAAAGAGTTCGTACAAACACATGAACCCTTCAGGAAAACGTCGTCATTTACATTTACCAAGTAAAATATGGAGCAGTTGGTAAAGCTGCTGCCTCTCAGCAAGCAGGTTGCCGGTTCAAATCCCGGCCGGGACCTTTCTGGGTGAAGTTTGTACGTTCTCTCCGTGCATGTGTGGGTTTTCTCCGGGTACTCCGTGTAAATAACTATAAATACGTTTAATTACAACAGATCTGAATGGATTTTATTTTGATGTTTCTGCAGTGATGTCGGTGACTTCCTGTCTGAGCTGCACACTTTTATTTTGTATCTGCATTTCCTGTCTAGAGCAGCTGTGTCGCTGGTTTCCCCAAGTACGGCAGTCAGTTTCGCACCGAGTGAGTGAGTGAGTGAGTGAGTGAGTGAGTG